CCCCCCCCCCCCCCCCGGCTACGCCACTGGTCCCTCGTAAGTGCAGGAAAACGTTCACTTTTGAGACATACGTCGAAATATCAATTATAACTTCCTTATTTGTCATCGTAGGACACTGATTCCACCAGGTTGAAAGCTGGGCAAACAGTTATCGAAAAGTTTGCTTTTTCGGATTGTTCAAATTTTATCAGAAACCGTTTGCTCAAAGATTTTGCAGGGAATCTTGAAATAATTATGTATTTACCTATTAGCAGAGAAATATAGACAACAACCAAAAGCATGATAACTGAATATGTATGCCAAAATGTTTCGAATGCGATTAGTAAATCACAATTTCCATATCTATTTCTTGATTGATTTTTAAAAATTAATTCACTATTGAATAGCTAAAAAGTTTCTCAAATGTCTCGAAACGAAGTCAAGAAAAAAGTCTAAGGTGAGTTCGAGCGCAAATGCTTCTATAAAACGCCTGGAAAGCATTTATCGTACAGATTTTTTTGACAGCAGATGAATGCATATTGATAGCGAATGGTAACATGGAAGCTTTTAATCCCAGTCACTCATACTCGATAAATTCAACTCTGATTCTTCGTTAATCGCTACATTTTTTCTAGCACACTGTGGCACAAAAACTACTCAGCACTTTAATGTCAACCATCCCAAATTTTTGCAAAGTCAGAGTGACAGTTGGCCTACGAGCTTGTCTTAAACGTTCACTTAAAAAATTGATGTTATTACAATGTTTTCACATGTCAACGACGGATGGATGCGGGTGTGGGTGCGGTGGGTGTGTGTAGGTCAGAGTCAGATCTTCAGCCACAGCCACACCCAGACCAATACACCCACGTCCACGTCAACATCCACATCAACATCAACATCATAAATCCGCAAATCGATCCACACCCAACCACCTACCAATTTTTGCATAAAATAAAACTCTTCTTACTCAACACCTTCGTTTTCTGAACACTCATAGTCAAACAGATCTGGAAAACAAAAGAGATCAAAATAACTTAGTGGTTATTCTTGTTCGCGACCGTGGATATCATATGGCTCTACTCTTACGTTTGTAGAAAGCTGCTAATAAAAATGAACCTGCTTCTCACATTTGATTTAAAGTTATTCTATATCAAAGGGCAACATAATACGTCCGTGCATTCGCTAATCGCGACCAACGTTTAAGGGGGCTTCCTCCCTCAGAAACGATTTTCCACTGTGAACGGTCCTTTCATGCTGGAATTTTCAGGGATGAGTGATCCTGGAGAAATACGCTTCTGGTAAAAATTTCAGCTCAATTGGTCATATTAGACCGGGTTTCCAACTGATTCATGGGTTATTTTTGGCCCTCAGGAGAATCGATATAACTTCGTCATAACGAGAGGTGTAGAGCTCGAGCTGGTTTCAAATTAAAGCCCATGCCAAGACGCAACTGTTGTCCAAACAGAATTTTTATATTCCGTCTAGTTCATTTTTTATGAAGTTAAGTACAAGGGTCTTAAAATTAGCATAAAAAATAGTGGTCCAACGACAGTAAATTTTACTTTTCTCAGCCTAGGAACTGCCTTTAAAAAATCCGTTCGGACGAAAGTTTACTTTGATTGAGACCTTTAAAACAAAAAAAAATATTGGTAGTAGCTCGAAAAATGAAGGAGGAGTTCCAATTTTTCTGATTGGAAACTATTTTCTGAGAAAAACTCAAAAGAGGTTTTAGAAATGGTTTTTTTCATTTAAATGCAAAAAACTTATATTAAAATGGCATATTTCTAATATATTTTCTTGGAATATTTTAAAGCGCCTAACAGATGCAATAAAACTAACGCTATCTGACATGTTGGTTAATATTAAAATGTCCTATTCAATGATAATTAAAGTAGCAACACAGATGTTCCAAAACTGAAAAACTTTAAAAAACCACGAAAACTTCTCGAAAAATGTGATAGTGAAATCAAAATCTGATCTGATAAGTCTTTGAAAATCGGGTCATTTTTCAAAAACCTATATATTCTGAAACAGGAAGTTTCGCTGTATCTTTCTATGGTAAAAACTCAATTTCGATATTTTTTTAAAAAAATCGATTTTCTGAGAGAGGGGTCCCCTTTAAACGGATGAAGACGGCAGCAACCTATGCTGTAAAAAAAAGTTGAATAATAAACACTTAAAGGGTTTATTAAAGTACAACGTATAATAAACCCTTTTTACCGTATGTGAAATTTTCCAAAATCCTCTAATAAACTCTTGCAAAGGCTTTAGGGAATTAATAAACTCTTTTGGAAGGATTTCAGAAATCAAAAAAGCCTTATAAGGGTCTATTATACACTGTAAAAAAATAGGCGTAGATCAAAAACCCCTGAAAATGGTTTATTTACCTCATAAACCCTTTCATATACCCTTTTAAAGGTTTATTAGTATCATAAACCTTCTCATCTATCTTTTTAGTTTATAAACACTAGAAAGGGTACTTTATACGTTGGATTTTCATAAATCTTTTAAGGTATATGATACTAATAAACCTTTAAAAGGGTATATGAAAGGGTTTATGAGGTAAATAAACCCTTTTCAAGGGTTTTCTGATCTACGCCCATTTTTTTACAGTGTATGTTGTACTTTAATAAACCCTCATAAGGGTTTATTATTTTTCTAAACTCTTTCTGAAACCCTTTCAAAGGATTTCGGAAAAGTTACTCTCGACCAAAATTTATACCTTCATTTTGACCAGGTTTTGGAGCAAATCTAAACGAAAACAAAAATAAATTTATTTAGTTTTAAAAAACACTTATTATTGTAGAAGTTGTTTGACTAAATCTAAATAAAAAAAATTAAAAAAAGGCGACTATAAGGTTTTGACTATAGAATCGGATATATGTAGATTTGTAGACGAAGACTTTCTCTATCCAACGGTGCATGCATTGTCAAATTCTGTTGCGTACCGTGAGAGGCTGAATTTTGGCTTCCTTGTATACGATTTTGGCTATTGTATACCTGATGCCAGCATGAAAATCGTATAGACCGCAACCAAAATTCATTCTCTCACGGTACGCAACAGAATTTGACAATGGATGCACCATTGGATACAAAAAGTCTTCCTCTACAAACCTACATATATCCCGTTCTGTAGTCAAAAATCACTGTGAAACTTATAGTCGCCTTTATTTAACTTTATTAATACTCACTGCTGTACAAGTTGTTTGACCAATTCTAAAGGATAAAAATAATTTTTTTTAATTTTAAAAACACTTACTATTGTAGAAGTTGTACGACTAAATCTAAATAATAATAATAAAGAAATTTATTTAAACTTATTAATACTTACTGTTGAATAAGTTGTTTCACGAAAGCTGAACAAAAAAAAATTAAAAGACGCTTGTCTAATTTTGTACATACTTTCTATTGTTTAAGTTGTTTGACGAAATGTAAGGGATAAAAATGAATAATTTATTTCGTTTCATAAATACATACTCTTGTATAAAGTGTTCGACTGATTCTACAAGATACAAATAAATAAATCTATTGAGTTTTACACACACTTACTGTTGAATAATTTATTTGACAAAATCTAATGATAAAGAACAATATACTCCTACTTGAAAATAAGAAGCCTTTTTGTTCAAAGCATATGCTAATATACCTTTGATATTGAGGTAATAAAGTTTCTTCCGGAATCCCAGTATAATAAATCCCTTTTTTTAGCAGTCATGAACCCTTTTTCTTGTCATTTACTCTTGCTTTCATAAACTCTGCAAGGGTTTATGAAAATTTGCACCGTGAACAATGGTTTACTATTATACCCATTTTTTTGCAGCGAATGATAAATCCTTTTCACAGAAAGGTGGAATAGTAAACCTGCACCGTAAAACAATAAACCATTTTTCATGTAGGGTAGACCAATAAATCCTTGACTGTAGAATAATAAACCCTGCTCCTTAAATCTTGTTACAATAAACCTTTTTTTTATTAGTCCTAAACCCTTTTCATTTTTAAATAGCCGTACACTCTAAGAAAAATCCGTCGTGTAGGAAACCCTTAATGGGTTTCCGAACTTGTTACTATCGGAAACCTTTTAAGGGTTTCCGAGAAAAGGTTTCCGAGCACTCGGAAACCCTACATTAGCATATTTTACTACCACAACACACCAACCATCGGAAACGCATTAACTGTTCCCGAGCAGGTTCCAGAACAAGTAGATACCTTACTTCGGTCAATTAAAATAACCCTTACATGAGCCACGAAAGCCCTCACAGTCTCAGCCCACGCATGAATATTAATGCAATTTCATTACAGACCTAAATAAAGAAAAAAGGATCAGATTGAATTTTATTGAAATCAATTGTCTTACCAGAAATTGTAATCGATATTCATATAGACCTAAATAAACAAAAA